AAAGATCGATAGAAATAGCTGAGAGACGTGCGAAACAAAGGACCCGCATGGTGTGGTGGTGAACGCGTTACTCCCCGGAAAGGATAATAGCGCGTTCGTTCCCCACCATAGACACCTGCGGTCCAGAGTTTTGCAAATATCTCAGCAACGTTGTGGTTGTATTTCGCTTAATAACCTGCCATGAAAATTATAGAAGGCAGAAAACAAAACGTTAAACATTGTGATTCCTATAGAGTTTTAAGAGATCAAGCCGCCAATGATGTGGCGAATTCAGAGCTTCGAACACCTCATTCTGATGCTCTGATGATACTGTCTGAAGATGGGAAATAGTAGTTTATCTTGTGGATTAGATATTCCATAAGTACCGGACCACTTCATTTAATGGAACATCCCACAGCCCTGAGCCACAATGGCCAGGGAATAAAACGGAAGCAAATTATTGCTGGAGTCTGAGCTAATCATCTACACCTCATCATTCATATATCAAGGTAGTCAACACACATCACAGACATTACATTCTTTAGCAATTTCATGTCAATAAAATACGTTACTGCAAATATTAAACTAGCAAAATTTTGTTATATTCATGAGTACATACGAGAATTCTTAAAAGCCGGCTTTCATCAATGCTCGGTAACAACAATCAATAATTTTGTACTGACTGCTACGACGATGAGATATCTGCGAAACTTGGAGCTCAGGCTAGATTGGAAGCCGCGATTACCCCTTACGGGATTGCCCATAAGAGAATTTCGTACATTTGAGCTTACGCGAGGTTGGTATGAAGCTTCATAGAGCTAACGTTTCAGCGCCTTCGTTTGTTTCAGAGTAGCAATGATCCGAGTGGATGGTCGACAGGTGGTCGTTGCTGCACGAGTCAAATCCAATGTAAGGGGTAAAACTCGAATGATTTACTTAACCTGGGGAGTGCGCTTTCGTACAGGACAGGTGTAGATCAATTGCCATTCAATGCTTTTTAGAATAATTTTTACCAAGGTTATTAAGTATTGCCACGCAAACGTGCCAGCAAATGAAGTACCGATTACTACACCACGCATTACCTACTAAAAAATGCATCTTGTTGGATGACAAGAGAGCAACATCCGTCCTGTATAAAGGGTCACTAGAGGTGAAGTTTCTCATTCCAGCAGTGCACTCTTCATTAGATTCTACTCGATGCTACGACGAACATCGACATCGCGACCACGACACGACAAGCTGTGGACTATCGACTTGGATTAATGCTGCTCTGAAGAAGCCGAAGGCATCGAAACGTTACTCGAGTAAAACTTTTACACAAGCCTCGTGTCAGCTCAGTCATCTAGAAAATTATGCACGAGGTTGTTATGAAATTTGATGGCGAGAATGGTTGCTTAATTCATGTGATGGCTCACTATGGTGCATTCGTTTACAACAACGATGACCTACATCGCAAGGACGAACGACTGTTCACAATCTACAAGAATTATTCCGAATCTGTAGAAGGCGATACATTGCCGAAAGGTTCAGCCAGAAAAATTTCATAACGAACTCTTGTCAACTCATCAATACGATTTAACATTGATTATCCATGCCGAGGTCAAGTAAAAGTAGGGGTTTCACAAGCAAAACTAATGTTTTCATAAAGTTTTTCAGTTTTTAGCATACTATTTATTCATTTGCTCATGATCTAGCGGCTCCTCCACGAATATTCATGATTTTCCTGAAGCTACTGTCGCCTCATCTATCAAAGCCGAGATCCTTTTCTAGCTGTTTTATTCATGTCCATTTCTTTTCCTTTTCGTTTATTTCTTCATTTTCTTTGCATTTTCTGTTAAACAAGGATAGGAATCGGCCCTACACCTGACTAGAAACTAGATAGAAATGGCGCGTGTCTGAATATTCAGATTGTAAACAGAAATCTAGCGGTGGAACAACTATGCTGTAATGCTCAATGAAAATTCATTGAAAAAATTTATTAAGAAACCCGTTACATTCCAACAATAAAGTTTGTTCATAAAAATTGCTTAAGTTGTTGATCAAATGACTTTCTGAGCAGCACATAGAAAAGAAATCGGGCCAATTGATTATCGTTAAGAATTTCAAGCAATCGATAAACATAGATAATACGCCCGTCAAGAATACATAACTTCACTATCGATGGAAACTGCGGAAAGAAAAGAAATTTCAACAGTTCTCTCAAGGGATGAAGAAAGTGCAGCACTGACATTCTGATGAAAGTATTTCCCCGATGTTAGTGTATTTTAACGATGCGATCTTCTTGACAGTACCGTGTCTTGCTCGTTGGGCGACAGTACGTCAGCGGTACGAAGATGTACTTTGCCGAAACTTCCACCGTAGACGTCTCGATTCGATTTCATGAAGGTAGCAATCGAGTGAATTGTAACGCTGCTCACCCATTCGGCCGGAACCTATTGATTATTATATTAAACCACTTTATGAGCATAAAACAACAGTTAAGTATTTTTTATGATAAATACTTCTTGGTACTTCTGTTCAGCAAGCACGAGGTTCTATTTTATTTCTTTATTTACGCACAAGCTGACGTTTCGGCGGATTTCGCCTTCCTCAGAGCCTGGAAGGGTCAACTCGACAGCAATCCATTCGGCCAAACACCTCCACAACCAAATAGAGAAAACGCTAAACCAAGATTTCAATCACATTTAGCATAGCTCTGCACACTCGCCGCTTTCTATGAGTCTTCCACTGAGTATGTCGCGTGAAGACCTACCGCACCAAATTCACATGGAAGCGTAATGTGCTCCTCCCATCAGAATAACAGGTTTATATACTGTCCAATATCGCGCGTGATAACGAGGCATTCCTCTCTACGGTTCATCTTCGGATTCTTGGAATTAATCCAGAATGCCTCTAGAGTTTTGCGCGCTTGTGTTCTCGATTCTTGCGCGAGGATCGTAACCCTTACTTCAAAATCTTCTCCGTTATGTTTCTGCGTGCTATGCGTACCTAGTGGAGTACTTGGCTTACGTTTGCCGACTAGGTGTTCTTTTATACGTACGCAGAGTGGACTATCCGTTTCGCCAACGTATTCGTCCTCGCACGCTTTACAAGAGATCAGATAGACTGTACCCGAACTCATGCAGTCACCGTCTCTACCATTGAGACAAATTATGCAATTTTACGTTGCACATAGACGGTCGTATAGGCGGTTAGGAACTAGCTGGCGCCTTAGATTACTCGGTGGTATTTCGATTATCGTTATCGAATTCTCTAGACTGGTCCTTCCTAAACAGCGTTTTATAGCTGCGCTTACTTCATTTGAAATGAAGGGCAGTATAAACGGGACCTTGTTGTCGCTAGAGTTATCGTTGGGGTACCTGTGGTTTCTTCTACACCTATCTCGAGCTACGGTTTCGTAGCCATTAAAAATGGCTATTGGCCGCGCCAAGTTCCGGGGCTCCTCTCTCTGTTGTCTTCCTGTGCACACGCTGTTCGATACATGTTTCTCACAAGCGCCCTTTTCGTGTGAGAGGGATGAGAGGAGAGGTAATGAACTAGGATGTTTTTACTACTTAGCTTTCGACACCACTTCGTAATGTAGCCGTTTTCTGATAGGCTAATTTGCACGTTCAGAAATGAAAGCCAGTCTTCTTTTGGTTTCTCTCGGGTGAATTTAATAGACTCTGACTGTGTGTTCAACAACTCGAAACATCTGTGGATTTCTTCTTGCGTTGAACAAATGACCAAGCAGTCATTTACATATCTACAGTAGAGTAACGGACCGAGGTCGATTACTGGCGCTTCCACCTTAGACATGAATGCAATGGTAGGGCTTGGTGCCAGTCGTTGTCCCATTGCCAGTCCTCTCATTTGTGCGTAATACCTCCTGGACCATCTGAATATTGAGCAGTTTAGGCACTCCTTTAAGAGTTTCATCAACTGCTGAATCGAGAAGCCGTACATGTTTGTTGCTCCTTCGTGTTGTATAAGGAGCTCGTTTATGGCTTTTATAGCGGAGGCATTCGACNCATCTGAATATTGAGCAGTTTAGGCACTCCTTTAAGAGTTTCATCAACTGCTGAATCGAGAAGCCGTACATGTTTGTTGCTCCTTCGTGTTGTATAAGGAGCTCGTTTATGGCTTGCATAGCGGAGTCATTCGACACGTTCGTATACAGGGCAGTGACGTCGAGGGATTCCACCACGTACGCGCTGTTGGTTCGCGCGTTATGTTGACGATCCAGGAACATTTGGGTGTTCGTTAGATGGGCTGGAATGTACTTCAACAACTGAGTAAATTGCAACGAACTCTTCACGCTTATCACTAACCGATGTTTTTTGTTCTTATCAGCTCTCGTACCTCCCGCATACCACGTTTTTGTATTTCAGTGAGGTTGGAGCAGTATCTTTTAGCCCGATAGTGATCAAGGACTTTGAAAGTTCCATTCGTAAACATCCGAAATTTAACATCGACTTCATTAATGGGCTCTTGTTGTCTAAAGGACGGTTGAGGAAATGGTGGTACTGGTATTGCCCCTACTCTTTGTTGTTCGCTTCTGTTACTGTTACTTCTGTTATAAATACTTTTGTTTATAAGAGACGAAAGTAAGAGGTAATCTCTAGATAAATCGTTCAGTTCAACAATATTTCCGTTCTGTGTTTACGTGGTTTCACTTGCATCACTTGCTTTCTCGTTGATTGTTGATTAAGTGGTGGAGGAACCAGTAAATTTTCTAAGTGCCACTATCGCGTTCAAAATTAGTGGACCAAGTGAGCTCACCTTCGTCTAGGTACTCACTCAGTATGACATTTACACCATAAAGATCTAAGAAAAAGCTCTCGGCGTCGATCAATCCTTGAGGGTGCGCCATGCATCTGACCTTATTGAGTGTCAATGGAGGCGATTGTTTGCATATCCGGCTTTTACAATGACTCGCGGTGGCCTGCCGATGTGTATGCGTTGAAGTCAGTGTCAATGCAATCACAGTAAACGGAGTAGACTGTGTGCATTGATTTCAATGTATATTCTTAGCGAGTGCTATTGCTTGTTTTATGCTTGTTTCTACGCAAACGGTTCATTCACTATTCCTTTTGTAGTCACTCGATAGCTTATTTACCGCAGATGTTCTGCCATATGCCGTCCACCATACCTTGTAATTTACAAAAAGCCTTTTTTCTTCAGACGAATACCGTCGCACCCACAACGTGCTACAGAAAATTAAGCGCACACTAGCGGTAGCCAGAAGTTGCTCCTAGTCGACTAGGGTGTGTTAGAAAATAATGCGACCACTTAAGCATAGTTATCTCGGGATTCCACAGACAACCACGGTCAGCAAGCCTACAATATGTCAATGAGAGAAGAGACAAATACACAAGGCTGCTGCTTGTGGGTCTACCCTCTTCAAACATATCCGACAACGTTTCACTTGACAATCAGTTTATTTGATTGACGACATAAACACCCACGCCTTGTTTCTAAGAGCCTTTTGATAGATAAAACTTTCGGCGTTGATCAATACCTGAGGGATGCGCCATGCATTCGACTTTATTAAGTACCGTTGGAGGTGATTGAATGCATATCTGGCCTTTTACAATGACTCGCGGTGGCCTACCGATATATCAAGCCAGTGCTACTATCCTTCCAGACAAATCTAGTACCAATTTTCTGACACCGTAGGGATGGAAGGCTTAGAGGACCACGGGCGCGGGGATCGATTCCACGTGTGTGTCGCAGTGGCGCCTCCAACCAGTGCGCCACACCCGCCCTTAATCCGATGATTATGATCCAATGATTAATCCGGAGTACAAAGTATATTCTCTGGTCTATGCCATCTTTGACTAGGAGTATTTTCTTCCTTCAAAAAAAGAGCGTTGCACAAATGAATAAAATTCTTATCTCTGTGGACTTACTTCATAGCTGTCTTCTGTCGCTATAGTTTTTCCTTCACTTTTGCCAGTTTCCACCTTGGAAGAAGCAATAATTAACAAAATGTAGCATAATGGGAAAAATTGCTCGGAAAAAATTGATGTGAGTTTTGAAAGAAGAGGAGAAACCTGAAGTTCTCTACTTTTATACTCACTTCAGCGATCACCGGCTGTTTCCCTTTCCAGTAGTTATCGATTCGGTTCTCGATGACAGTGAGCATTCCTGAGTTTCGTAGTCATCATTATCATCGTTGTTATTGTTATCATTATCATCATCATAATCACAATGGCCATAATGATGACTATTTTGGTCCACCAATTACGCAGTGTTTCGATTTTTTTACAAAAAAATAAAGCTGTAAAAATGACTGTTGATTGTTTGCTCTGATGTCGTGCGATCTACTGTTGGCTATCGCGATCACGTTTTTACTCTATTCAGATGTGGTTTGGAAAATCCTTAGAATTTTGAAAATTAGTAGATGATTTCTGGACCTCCACCTACCGAATGCTCCATTCTCCATTATGATATATGTCATTCTATTTACAACCTTCATGATCGGAAGACCAAGGAAGAAGAGAATCGACACGATGGGTGCGAACTGAAGAAGAGTGGCAATCAAGATTTATGACAAAACTTTCTTATCCTTATTATCTAGGTTTGTAAAGGCTGAAAAAAGCTGTACGGATATTTTTGCAATCGCTAGCAGCCATAAGTTTTCCTGCCGTATTACTTCATAGTAAGTAATTGTCCCCGGTTTAGTTCAACATAACAAACAGGCAAAAAATATAAAACTGTACAGATATATAACAATCATCTTTGGACCGAGAGAAAAAGTTTATCACTGTGTTGACTTTCCAAGTTCGATCAGTTCGGTTTCTAACGAATTTAAAAGCGTCATCACGAGCATTTACGAAGTTTAAAAAGCGGCATAACCGGTTTTAATACTGAGCAGAAACATCCTCGACGACTATGGGGTTCTATATCGCTTTGTGAGCGTTTTCAAAATTCAATTAAAACTTTCTAAAGTGGCTAAAAAGTAGTCACTTACAGTAGCATTATTTGGCATAACATCACCAAGACCAATAGTCGTAAATGACATATAGGAGAAGTAAAATGAATGGAACCAATCCAAACCGGTTCCTGGTGGACCAGAAATCTCGTCCAAATAGTAGACGAACACCGTCATGAAGCCAATAAATCCTATAAAAAAATGCTGTTGTTCTTATTGATGTTTTCTAAATCATGGATTTATAAGAACTGATCAATCTTGTTGAAATATGTCGGTATTTGATACAACCACAATGATGCTGAGATATTTGCAAAACTCCGGACCGCAGGTGTCTACGGTGGGAAAGTCGACATTGCTGATGGCAAAAGATCGATAGAACGAGCAGACAGACAGGCAAGGCGGAGGACCCGAATGGTGGCGTGGTGAAGTGCGCTGCTCCCCGATAAGGACAATAGCGCGTGTTCGTTCCCCACCGCATCCACCTGCGGTCAGTAGTTTTGCAAATATCTCGGCATCATTGTGGTTGTATCACACGTAATAAATACGCTGCGATGAGAAATAGTTTTAGGCAGTAAAAAAAAGGTTAGCATTATATCTTTATTGCTATATCTCTTTTCAAAACGATCAAGCGGAGAACTCTGCTATGAATACTGTCTTGGGAGGAGTCGATGAATTAGTCGGCCTAGAGGAAAAGCTCAAAGCAGAGACTGTATGTACGCAAGTGAAGTTTTGCTGAAATGTGCCCCACATTCTAGTTCGTTTTGTCCTTATTGTTATTACCTTCAGGAACTGGTGTTTAGTGCCAGAACTGACGAAGAACTACGAAAATTGGCTGCTGTTGCTTAATCTACTTTTTTCTATCGTTTTCAATTATTTTACCTGCATCGCCAAATAAGGTACGATGGAATACAGAAGGAAGAGCAAGCTTAAAGGAAACATGGCATTCTCTTTGAGTATTGAGCAGGATGAACCAAATAAGCATGATAACGAAACTCAATGAAGTATTAGGAGAGTGCAAGGGAGCACTCAGGGAAGCACTATCGACTTGAGCATAGCTTTCAATTCAGTTCAGAGAGAACACGTCTTTGGAGATTTGGAGAACTAGTGTCCATATACTGAATAGAGAAAGATTCCTCTTCAGTTACACATCAGTTTTCCAGCCAGCGTATAGAAAAAGCGTGTAAGAAGCAGGTATGTTTCTTCCGTAAAACACATCTCCATAGCTTAGGAATAACCTTAGCAGAACGCAAGTGCGTTTGGTGCTCTTAGTCGTGCAGAGGGAAACAACCCAAAATTGCTTATTCTGGAAACAAAACGGTTTCCCGCTTTATGGCTAAAGCGCTTAACGAAGACTCCGAATGGCAAATACGGCACTGTTCGTGTTTCCCCAGTGAGCACCAGACCACAGTTAGATGTATCACGCGATAAGGGCGACTAGTCAACCACACTTACGAGACGTTTGACGAAAAGACCAGAAATGCCACTCGTTACTATTACTGATAGGATTGAAACATTATTTGGCTTAAGGATTCAATAGCAACTGGGTCGCCTATAAAACCTGTCGCCCCGCTGATCGTCTAGTGGCTCGAGCAGCCACCATTAAGTCTTCCATTTTTCCTTGTTGCGTGCGAGAGCAGCACTGTGGGTTCTGCTCGCTCTAGGAATTCGTTCATCATAATATCTTGGCTCTAGGGTTTTCAAGGAGAACTCGGACCATCCGATCGGTAACCTTCCTGCCGTGCACTTGACATCTCGAGGGATACAATAGCTCACGGCCCATGTCCATCGCTTATACACATACACGTTCTTGGCTTAGTTTGTCTTCGACAGTTTGGGGCATAGAACGACGTCCTTGACTCTTCATCGTTGACATGGATTAGAGATTGAGACCTTTTCCCTCACGTGTGTGAAACAAGTTACCTGTAGCATCGTCCTTTCTACTGCGCTCTCTGTTACGCTGAGTGATCTCCCATTCTCCTTATCTAGCGACCGGATTCCTAACACACAAGTTACGGCAGGGAGAGTCGTGGAGTCGACAAGGTGATCATGGAGTCCGGTGTTCTTTGGTCTCTTCACTACATATTCGATACTCTTGAAACCTCCTCAAGAAGCTGGGTTCGCTTGACCATCTCATGAACTAAAGTCGTTTATTACATTAATTTCACGACCTAGATAGATATAGTTGGAGCGTTTGGAGATATTCAGTCCATGAAATGTGAATGGGGCATACATAACCAATCTGTTCTTTATGAATGTCGTTTTTGTGAGACTTAGTTGAAAACCAATCCTTTCACAATCGTTATCAAAGTTGAGAAGCATTTGCTCGCTTCTCCGTTTTAAAATTTTGTGTTATAAGAACTATGTAAACAGCAAAAGCAAAATGGTGTAATTGCAGACCATCGGTTTTCACTCCCATATTGCCCCAATCCAATATTCGAATGACATTCTCGAGAGTGGCGGTAAATTATTTTAGCGAGACGGTATTGCCTAGCCTAACCCCTGTTCTGACATCCATGTTAATATCGCTGTAGAATGGTGATATCTTGGTTGTTGAATTTTTGTACAGTTCATGAAGAACCTTTATTTTTTGAGCAGGGTCTCCCTTACTGTCCAGGGTTTACATGACTGTTCCTATCTCAGCTGAGTAAAAAGCTTTCCTTCAATCCTTAATAATTCCTTGGAAATAACATTCCAAAAGGTAACATCTAAAGAGCAGAGCCAGTGTATTTATGGGGACAGGTAGAAGGTTCTTTAGGTGTGTAGGTCTTATCCGAAGATGGTGTTATTCGATTCCTCACCAACGAAATAGTCTAACGTATTGCGTGAGCGGGAACCGGTTGGACTACATATCAATCCACCTTTATTACATATGAAGACAGTAGAACGTGGCTATTGAAGATGCCTGAGTAGTAGCCGTGAATGATTTTCTCTATTGCCTTTCTGGACGCTGTAACTGTTCTGCCTAGGCGTCGGAGTGCAAACACCTTGGTCTTGTAATTGGCGAAGCTTCGGTGGGCTTTGCGAATACTTTTCCCTGCATCAACCGCTTCGAGCGCAATAGCTGCTCTTTTCTCTTTCGGAAATGTCTTTTTTGCTTTTGCTTTTTCTTGTATTACCTTTCTGTATTGTTTGGCAATTCTGAACGTGAATTCACAGTTCCTTGCAGCTACTCTGATTCCACGCTGGCGTCTCAGCTCGATGGTGTCTGGAAGCAGACATCTCTTGGTGACTTTCGAACTTTCAACCTTCGCAACGCTAACATGAAGATGTTAAATGAGGCAATCCCACTCCTCATCTATACATTCAAGAGCGGCGTCTTTCCAACAACCGACTAGTGAACTGAATAAATCTCTGTTTACTGTTGTTTTCAAACTTCGTCTTTTGAATTTAGGGGCTTTTTCTGCTTTCCACGAGTAATGAAATCTTGCAAGAAGATGATAGTGGTCTGATTATGTGTAGAATTTCGAAACTGCAACGACATGGCTTAGCCTGACTTTCTGTTTGCTATGAAAGGGTCAAATTCGTCGTGGTACTCTCCACAAGCAGACTCCCATGTCCATCAGTGAGAGTGAGGCTTCTGGAATTGCAAGTTACCACGAATATTATCGGTCGTCAACATAAACTCAGACAGCCGCTCACCCTTCTCGTTCCATTCTATTCCGCGGCTCTCAATATGACATTTTTCAGACATTCTTCTGGATCTAGTCTCAGCATTAAAATCTCCAATCGCGACCTTGAAGATTCCATAATCTTCTCTGTAGAGATTCTCTATGGCTATACAGAACTATTCGAATTCGTCTTCCTCATGACTTGATGTCGGTGCGTAGACGACGAAGATTGTCAAAGCCGACATTGATCTACAACTCTTCAATTGTAAACGTCTGATTAGGATTCTTAGTTATTCGACTGAAACGATATTTATGTCCAAATTCCTGTTGACGAGACGCCCATGCCACCAATTCCTCTACTGCCACATGTTCCGAGAAACAGTTCTTCTCCGGTGTCATAGCCGGCGTTGATTGGGCGTCGTCGTCTCGTGTTGGCCAGGCCGATTAAATTGCACCTCATACTTCTTGTTTGCATGATCAAGTCTTCTATCGGAGATTCAGATGCAAGTGTGCGCTCATTGTAGGTATAGATCGTCACCTTAGCTCCTCGTGATTCAGGCTGCTTATATTGACCCTAAAATTTTAATAGCCTCTCCGTACTCGTCCTACCCAACGCTGCCGAAATGGGAGCACTTTCGGGTTCAGGAGACTGAGGCCCGTTTCTTTTATTGCATTTACCTTTTTGATACCCAAGCATAGCTTGCTGAGCTCTGAACGTGAGGGATGGGTATACTCACGGGTGAGCTCTCCTGTTAGTCTCTCCTATAGTGGGCTTGGAGTTTTCTTGTTGGAGGCGGCTCCTAACCACCTACTATCTGAATACCAAAATTTATAAAATATCAGGCTAAAAAACACTGCAACAAGTAAAAAAAACTGCATCAACCTATCATGATAAGTACACTTATGACGATTGGCAAACGGATGACTTCACTCGGTTTGTCCGATTTCTCGCCACAGCATCGCCTTAAAGAAGAACATTGAACGGTACACCTAAGCCATCACCAACGACGAAGTAAATTTCGATTTTATTACTTTGCAGTTTAGTGCAATTAATTATTGATTAGCTTCTTTTTATTTTGCCATCGTAGCGGGAGGAACACAGAAATTTTCGTATGAAATGCTGAGATATTTGCAAAACTCCGGATCACAGGTGTATGCAGTGGGGAACGAACACGCGCTGTTGTCCTTACCGGGGAGCAGCGCGTGTTCGTTCCCCACTGCATACACCTGTGGTCCGGAGTTTTGCAAATATCTCAGCATTTCATACGAGTTATATTTCACAACATACCTTGCCATTAAGAAGAAAAAGGCAGTAAATAAAAGAGTTAAGACAGAAATTTTCCATCGGAAAATTTGGTGCCTTTCAAAATCTATTCCTAATGCTTCAGCGACAATCGATAAGTATTTGATTTACCTGTATTTGAGTAAAATTCTTGCATAGATCTTAGTGATGGCTAAAAGCAGCCATTGTCCGAGATCACGAATCACGACCAGAGTGACCGGTACGAAAATGAAGCCGTACACTATTACGAACCACTTTCCAGCATCCGTCTCTGGTGATATTGACCCTTAACACACAATGGACAGTATGCTTTAATTTCAATAGATATCGAAAATGTCTTTGATTTGCGCTCTGAGCTTTTTAGGGCGCCGATATTTTTCTCACATCTGTGGTATTCAATGGCAAGTTAACATTTCCATTGTAAAATTTTCATAGTTTTGCTATCGTAAAAAAGCTATTTTCAATTCACGGAAATCCGATACGATTCCTTTCCTAACGTGATGTCCGTTGCCTTTGGCACGGAAGTATTTCAACCAGTATGCATTGATTTCAACTCACACAGTTGTGCAAAAGCAATTGGGTGTCGTCAAGTGCGGCCTACACCGCTAATTCGTCAAATATCTCTTAACGATTGCCATAGATTGATAATCATTGTGGTGCAATCATTGACCGACACTCGACAAACATGTGGCTTTTTGAGACTACTTCCGCCAAAAATTACACCGAACCCTGTCGCTGCTGTGTCAAGGGCACACAAATGTCGACGAACTGCGGAATGAATTGGTCGGTTGACGTCACCATCGAAAACTGACTACTGATAAACACCGTATTTGCCTGAATTTTAAGCCTTCTAGCTGTCGCTGTCAAAATATCTAAGGTGTAACAAATTGCTAACGATTCGCATTATTTTGGAAAAAATTATTTTTCTCCTTAACCTTTTTTATTTCCTGCCTACTATAATTTTTAAAGGCAGGGTATCATGTGAAATACAACTATGATAATGCTGAGATACTGCAAAACTCCGGACAGCAGCAATCACCCGTCAATGGCGCCAACAGCAATCACCCGTCAATGGCGCCGATCAACAGAACTAGCTGAGAGACAGGCGAAACGAAGGACCCGCATGGTGTGGTGGTGAACGCATTACTCCCCGAAAAGGACAATACCTCGTTCGTTCACCACTGTAGACATCTGCGGTCCGGAGTTTTGCCAATATCTCAGCATTATCTTTACTGCTCTTCTATTTTAATCTTTCCAATATCTAATGACAAGGCCGTGTAGGAAATTAGAGAATCTGTCCGAAGCAAAATTTAGTAATTATAGATTGCAAAGCGGAACATTCCCTACCGTATCCTGTTGTTGTGTAGACGTTCATCGCGAAAAAGAAACTGCTAGCGAAAGTCCATTTGTAATTGTTCTCTGGATCATCGGAACGATAAAATGTAGACCATCTATAGGTACCTTCGACATTTAACATTTTGACATAAGCGTTCTAAAAGCAAGCACGATTTGCTATTGTTGCTCTTCACATGTGACGGTGAGGAAAAAGTCGAGTTCTAAGATTTCTAAACCCTTTCATTGTATTCAAAGCAAGATCCATGCTAGTTGCCTACTCACGAACATCACATATATACTGACGCGGATACACAAAAATAGACCTACGAACATGTACGCGTTTATAAACGAGCGGACACACACGTAGACAGCACGGATACACGGACACACATGCAGACATACACACAGCATACACGAGCAGACCAAACATTCCCACTTGCACACATATCCACATGGAAAAACACACATAGATGTATACACACGCGTAGACGGATGAGAACACAAATAAAGATGAGCAAGCAGAGATGAGTACACATGCAATACATACACGCTACATACATACCTGTACACTTCTTTGAGCACTTGTACATCCATACGCACGTCACACATTTATACACGTATATATGCATATATATATATATATATATATGCATTTACAATGTATAGAAAGCACACGTGCACCCGAAGACACTACACTCGAGGAGTGAACGACTCATACGTCATGAGATCTACTAAAGGTCAGCTAAGTAAATAACCGTTACTCGTTCTTTATTTCCACTTTTGAAGTATTAATAAACTTTGAAATAAGTGAGAAACGGGTTTTTTTAGACAAGATCCCACCTGAACTCACAACAAGTCCAAGGACATTATTGTCTTTAATGTCAACAAACAGCTACCCACTATATTTTAAAAGAAACATTTTAACTTTTATTTTAATATCCTTCGTTATGACACTTTTATTCTTATTCACGTCATATAGTAAGCATTTACTTTCACGTCGATTGTCATCTCTTCGATGGTCTTATTGTCAGCCACCGAGCTTAGGTATTCAGCAAGATGTTCGATTTGACTGTCGAGTTCGATTTTTCTCGCAGAAACTACCTAAATACCATTGTTGAATCGATTCAATTAGTTGAACATTCAGCAAGTATTGGAATAATTAACAAATATTGGACTATTCATATAAACTTCACTAAAAGGACTATTCCTATTGCAGTTGGCGCATACTCGACTGTTGAAGTACAGTCAAATAACTTGAGCGCCAGGCTATTTTTATCAAACCAGATTCTTTCATGGATAAGGAAGGAATAACAGTACAATTAAATAAAAACAGCTAGCTGGTTCCTGGTTTTTGATAAGATTTTTTGACGGTTCTGATTAGAGAACGTCACCCTTCTTTACTACGAAGAAATCTTTTGCTAAGCAGATAACAAAAAAACGATATTCATTCTTCGTATTTTTGTTGAGCAAACGCGAGGTGTTATTATTCTTTGTTCACGATTAAGCTGACGTTTCGGCGGATTTCGCCTTCCTCAGAATCTGGAAAAGTCAAGTTGATAGCAATCTACTCGGCCAGACGCCTCCATAACCAAACAAAGAAACTCTAAACCAAGATTTCTATCTTAACTCTTTTATTTACTGCCTTTTTCTTCTTAATGGCAGGGTATGTTGTGAAATATAACTCGTATGAAGTGCTGAGATATCTGCAAAACTCCGGACCACAGGTGTATGCAATGGAGAACGAACACGCGCTGTTGTCCTTACCGGGGAGCAGCGCACTTCACCACTACACCATCCGGGACCCGGATGTGGTCCGGAGTTTTGCAGATATCTCAGCACTTCATACAAGATTTCAATATTCTATATTATATTATATTATATTATATTCTTTCTTTTAACCTCATCTCTGCGTAAACCCAACGATTTAAGAACATGTTAATTGGTCGGTCTAAAAGTTGTACTGTTCATTTTGCTTGAACTAAAAGAACTATCATTATCAACCTCGTGTAAGCTCATCAAAGAAAGAATACATATTGAACTAAAAGAATTAATGCTTATAAACACACATAAGTGAAAAATGAGTAAAAGTTGCCGTTAAATCGCTCACTTTCCTTTCATTTGGTTTTTCCAGGTAATAGAAGACGATCGCTCCAAGTGCCGAATAGGTGGCAAGCACCAAAACAAGAATGATATGACTGAGTCCGATTTTTTTGTGCAGATGTGAGATCCAATAGAAAGAGTCCGTAAATCCTAAAAAGATCTTCAGCAAAGGAAAAATGCTGAGAAGTGCTTAGTAGCTCTGTTGTGAAAACTAAGGTCATAGAAATGCAGCTTCGCTCATTTTTTAGACCTTTGCATTAATCAACAAATTCAGATATGTGGCTCCCACGTCTGACTTTCTATTAACCTCGGCATTGATTGAACAATTCTTTCTACTTCTGTTCAGCATACTCAGTGGAACACTCATAGAAAGCGGTGAGTGTGCAGAGCTGTGTTAAATGTGATTGAAATCTTTGTTTAGCGTTTTCCCTGTTTGGCTATGGAGGTGTTTGGCGGAATAGATTGCTGTCAACTTGGCTCTTCCAGGCTCTGAGGAAGGCGAAATCCGCCGAAACGTCAACTTGTACGTAAATATCAGATAAGTGGATCCTCAAAAAAATGGCTTAAAAGTTAGTCAAAAGAACCACAGTAATGTTGAGATATAACTACTATAGCGCTCAGATACTTGCAAAACTCCGGACCGCAGGTGCCTGCGATGGGGAACAAACATGATATTACCCTTTCCAGCGCTAACGCGTTCAACACTACACCATGCGGGTCCTTCTCTTCGCCTGTCTCTCAGATAGTTCTGTCGATCACTTGCCATCAGTAATCACCCGTCAACAGGACTGATCTGGGAAGTCCAAATCGGCAACGAACCCAGTTAAACTCGGGCTGCACTCGAAATCACAACGTTAACTTTTTATGTACTGCCTATTACTTCCTCATCGCAGAGTACGATTTGTGAAATAACCACAGTGATGCGGAGATAGGTATCAGATGTCTGCGTTCCGCTGTTTTGCAAATATCTCGGCATCATTGTGGTTGTTTCACACATAATACCTTGCCATGAAGATATAATAGGCAGTAGATAAAAGGTTAACATTAAGTCAAAAAAGTTTAGATCTTTTTTGGTAAGCAGTTTTCCTACCTATTTGCAATCTTTGAATGATTTCGATATCAGTATTGTTACTCTTTTTCTTTCACTCCATAAACATAATACCTTACAAAGTTTTGGAGCATCTTGCGTGGTGCTTAAAAGTGCCGTTCACTATGCACTTGAATACTCGTTAGAACAATCCCGCACCTGGAGCAAGCTGAGTCCCTCTTTAGTTCGGGATCAAAAGATTGAAATCAGACTTGACTGCGAGAGACTTCAAAATTTTACTAGGTGAAAGCGCTAAGTCAATACATCGCCAAGCTCCAAAACTCATTATATAGGCCTGATATGCATTCGATCATTCCTGTGGTGCTACAAATGAAGCCGAATGCATTGCGTTTTCTTGAAGGAGTTATCAACAGTGAAAGCCTTATCCTTCCGTTGGCTGTCCTCGGTCTACAAAATAAAGGAAATGGTAAGAATGGTTGGACTTTATTCTGATTTCGAGTACCTTACTTCCTTCATTCCCTCATTTAATTATTTAATATTGGTCTTATTTTAGAATTAGAATTAAATTTCACTCAATTCTCACTCCTTTCAGTTGACGTCGGTGTCGGCATCACCGGTGGCGGCGAATGTGGTTTCATTGCTTTTCGCTCAATCATCGCAACCGTACCGTGAGGAGGGTGAGGATAGTGCTCTGAATACGATAGAAATCAGCATTTTCTAATTTTAAGCAATGAAGAAGTGTAACCGGTGATGATCTAAATGTGCTATAAAATCGCGCATCGTCCTATGAACCATCTGCCTAAAAGAAATAAACATGTTAAGAACATTTACGTTTAATAACACAGTGTAAATTTTCTTTTCAAACTGTTCAAATGCAAAAGTGAAAGATCTTAACAGCACCGGCATCGAAACTTGTTTCTGCAGAATTTTCTTCGACGATGTTTGCAAATGCGAAGCATTTTCTGCATTTGCGTAATTATCGATTTTTAGCCACAATTTTTAGCAACCAGCCATTTTTAGCCAATTAGCGATGGAATAACAGGATCCACCACCGTCCTGGTATCAAAGTCGTATGGTGGCCAAATTTTCCTCTGATCTACAAGGACTGCGACTGTCTGTGGTGGTGAAGACCTGAGCAGACTTTGGCTGGACTGACCTCGAGATTCCAGGGAACCACAATGGCTTAACCAGCAAATCTCCGAAAAGTGGAGATTATGCTGGGGCCTGCACAACCAGTGAGGACAAGCCATTCAAGTATCAAGTACCATGTATCGATTTTAGCACCAACGTTAAACGATTCCATAGCCCTGAAGCCTCGAAGCAGTTCTTCCTTTCCAGCTGTCCTTTGTCAAAGAACAAACAGCTGTTTATTACTGTTGGCCTACTATTCAACCAATGAATTCACCTTGTTTCCGATGCTGCTCATAGGTGTGCAGTGTCAATTGATCCTCATTTTCTTTCACTCTTTCCTCACTAGTGCTCTGCTCGATAGTTCCTATGGCCACCAAATCTTTTTTATGCCTCAGGATTGAGTTTTGAGTGTCATCATATGTTTCGGACGAATTCACTCGGCTTCTTGTCATCTCTGAACAATTGCCTATAATTGAGACTAACGCTTAGTGGAAAAGCTCGTCAATAATGATAGATTAAATACTAATGGAAGTAGGTAAAGAACTATGCCAGTTGGAAACAGCAGTTAATAGAGCGCAGAGTTGTATTGATGATAATATCGATCGGCGGCAAAAAACGAGTTCTAATAAGGAAAGTAAACAATGCCGTGAAAGACAGCAGTAACGAATTGAACGACACTGAAAGTGACCCAACAAAAGCCCCACATGACAATTGTAAACCAATATTTTTGTGTTTTTAATGAAAAAGAGCAGGCCTAACCATCAGGCCGATCGTAGTAATATTTTCAAGCGATTAAGATACGGTAGACAAAAGGAACTGCGTGCGATGAAATACTTAGAGACGATTTCATAGCGTCCGATTGTGATCGACCGACCGAACGACCGTATCCAATTAAGTGATGACGTTCCACCCATCCTCCTTACAACCTGATAATCACTGATTGTACGACAGACGTCATGAGAGAAAAAACAAGGTGCGTAAAGTGTGTGACGTGATTTCTCATAGCAAACTGACCGCGCAAAACTAACTGTATCAAAACATCGGCTGAACATTACTTTACCGGGGCTTTTTTTAGGCTTTTTTACACGATGTAGCTCAAAACAATGATATATTTGTACTCATGATTCGTTACTTTCCAGCCATAATCCACGAATGCCACCGAATTTCATGCGTGTGTGTGTGTGTGTGTGTTGTGTGTTTTTGTGTACGTGTGTGTGTTCGGGTTCCACTTAGGGATTTTGTTTTCTTCGTGAATGGCGTTGAATTTTGGTCGGTTGATTCTCATCGAAATCTTAATATAGATTTGCTTTGGCGCTCCCAGATCTTCACCACAGATCTGTATGGAGCTTTTCTAAAAAAAGCTCAGCTTCGGTTTATTGACTTCGCATATATGAGAACTTGTTTGGCTCGGGGCAAGGTCGCATTACCAGAGATCATGCAAATCATGTCTAACTGCTGCGCTTCCCGTGCCTGCTAGTTTTCTTCTTTTTTGGAGTGAAAAGTAGGAAGTAACTTGCAAGTAATTGTGCTTTGTAGGAATTGTATAGCGCGGTAATTTGAAGGACATAAAGGATAAAGTTCTCGGCGTTGATCAATGCCTGAGAGATGCGCCGTGCATTCCACTTCATTAAATTTCGTTGGAGGTGATTGAATGCATATCTAGCCTTTACAATGAATCGCGATGGACTACCGATGTATCAACCCAATACTGATGTCTTCCCAGACAAGTGTAGTACCAATTTATTGACTCTACAGAGATGGAAGGCTTGGTGAGTCACGGGCGAGAACATCATGCGTGTGTCGCAGAACGCCTCGAACCACTGCGCCACACGCGCCCTATAATGTAGTGGGATCGGTTATTTGTGCATTGCCTTACCTGAGCTCATTAAGTTTTCTGTCCTTCACGGATCGGCAGAATGAAATCGGGCTTCTCTGAAAGAACAACTATACTTCCTTTCTTGTTCAGCAGTCTCGAGGTTTTTAAACAGCATACATTTACTTCCATAAAAACACAATACAATACAACGCTAGCTGACGTTTCGGCAGTATCGCCTTCTTCAGGGCCTGGAAGGGTATGCTGATATACAATCTACTAGGCCAAACGCTTCAATGACACTTACAAAAAGACGAAAAACTCTATGGTAATTACATGATCAACAACTTCTCGAAAAACCCACCGCTTTTTCGTGCCTTCCAATGAGGAAGTTTAGAACAGCTGATTATAGTCTCAAGTGGTTGACGACTGCACTATCCCACATCAAAAATCGATGCAAACGTACGGGATCAGGTCGCGTATGACCTCTGGGCATTCGTCCCTGCTATTCATTGTAGGGTTTTTGGCATTGATCCAAAAAGCCTCAAGGAGTTTTCGCGCTCGTGTTTTGGACTCCTGTGCAAGGATATTGACTTTTACTTCAAAATCGTCTCCGCTACCCTTCCAGGCTCTGAAGAAGGCGTTACTGCCGAAACGTCAGCTAGCGTTGCATTGTATTGTGTTTTTATGGAAGTAAATGTATGCTGTTTAAAAACCTCGAGACTGCTGAACAAGAAAACGACACATTCATATTCCAATGCCGAGGTTAAGAGAAAGTCGATCCTCGGAACTATACTTCCTTTTTTAATATCTTCTATCACCTATGCGTAGATAACGAAGTCCAAAGTATGGCCTAATCTTCAGTCAGTAATCAACGTCACATGCTTTTTCATCCTTGTTAGGTTTTCCTTATTTCAAATTTCAAAATTTTTAGGACTGCGAATGTGATGGTGACCGCAATGTACAATAAGGATTTCACTCCATAGCAAGCATACGAACATACGAAACAATATTGTACGAGTTCTTTCAGTAGCAAAACCGGAAAGTACAAAAGTTCGGGTGCAGTAGAACGTATTTTTTAAGGTGTAGGGTAATAGACCAATGAAAAAATACGGAAGCGTAAAGCTCTCTCATTAAATGAGAGCGGCAATTAGCAAGCGCTTTCTGGCCCGATCAGGCGGCAGCGCTAACCAAGCTTTCGATCCATTTGAGGTCGGTAATTGGGCACCAGATCTGCTAGCAAGGGTACCAGTAGCGATATGATACGTTGGAAAGCTGCCTCTATCTATTGTATAGGTTGGATATTTACTAAATCGCATCTAACTATGCATAATGAATTCGAAGGAATGGAGCCTTCTTCAGGGATTGATCAACGCCAAGCACTTTATCCTTTATCCTTTTTGTAAGAGATTATCTGTTAAGAAAGTTGAACTTTGGCACAGTATCTATTAATTCAAAATTCCGTATGACCTACCCCCATAAACAAGCTTAAATTTCCGAACATAGAAGGGCATGCTGCTCTTCCCACCTTCCTTCTTTGAGAGTGATCTCAACTCTTAAGACTGATGGCCAACAAAAACTGCTGTTTTTCATATGGTTTACTATGATGTGGTTAGAAGTCAAGCCCAAATTTTTCTTGGTCTGAA